GGGCCATTCATTCCCATGAACCACCATGTGAAGACAGAGGGGAGCTCTACCCGGTCCACAATCGCCTCCTCGGATCTGAGAGCAGTGAGGGAATCAACGCCCAGCTTCTGGCAGAAGCCCTGGGATGGGCTCCTCTCACTGGGCAGCTTTATGATGGAAGCACCGGAAAAATCAGAGGGCACAGCAGAGGGAGCTCTGCTGAGACCCGTGGGTTCACTGTCGCCTCATTTCTGCTTTGTGTGATCTTGAGGGCATGCCCTTAATCCAACATGACTGCTTTTTCATCTGTAAAATGCGAATAAGAGGAAGAATGGGGATGTATACATAGCACTCAGCACAGCACCTGGAATGCAGTTAATGTTGAGCAAACACTAGCTATTCTCATTGTCACCGCCATTATCACCAGTTTTCACGGCCCTGGAGGCAGGACATTCATTACCAAGCCGCTTGAATTATTGTAAGTGGATTGAGTTGAACTGTCTTCCTATGGTTACAACACACAGGAACTCTGGTCAGTGTGCAGTGACATGGAACAATATAGTAAATAAAGCTCCGGGTGAGCCCTGTCGTCCAAAGGAACAACTACTTCCTCTAGCCTGGTTTTCCATGAGGTCAGGGCCAGGCTGTGCCTCGAATTTGGAGTGTTGTCTGTTTGCTGGGTGGAATCCTGTTGTAAAAATATCTACAAAAGTTTGGCCACAATTCAGACAGCTTTCTTTGTTCACTTATAACATTAGACCCCGTTTCCTGGTGTCTGTTTTAGACAGGTGCTTTTGACACCTTACTTCCAACCCAGTGAGACGCCTTGTAGACCCATTGGACAGATAAGGAAGTGAAGACTGACAGAGGATAAATAACGTCCCAGGCCTCACAGCTGTTAACTGCGGAGGCGAGCTTGGCGTCCCTCCTCTCCATCACTATACTGCTTCTTGGCCTTGGCCGGGCACCCAGGGACTGTGGACAGACATGCAGAAGGGGAACCAGGCAAGGTAGGAGAGCCCAGCTCTCTTCTTTTGCATTCTCAGAGCTTCCCTGGAACTTCTCAGAGCACCTGTCTGGATTCTTTTAGGAATCACAGCCATCTGGAATCAGACTCCTGGGTCCAAATCATCCAATCAGTGCTTGAGAATGACCCACGGTGTTCCCCACCCATGCACACATGCGTGTGCACACACACACACACAAACACACACACTCTCACAGACATTGAGCTTGGGGGTTCCAGGGAGTTCATGACATCCTGCACCAGCCCATCCTATCAGCAGGGGAATGATGGATAGAACACCTTCCCCTGCTATGAGCTTTTCCCCATAACTCTCACCCATGAAGGCAAGTTGAGACTCCTTCCAGTGCACCAGGAGTGGGAAGTCCGCTTTCTCCATGTGATACCCATGTCACACCATTGAAGAGAGCAACAGGGTCCCTAGTGCTCTGCTTCCTAACCTGCTGGAATCTGACACTCACTTTTTGTTGCTCAGGGTACTTTTCCATACACTTCAGTCAGGTCCCTTAGAGCCATCCACAGTCTGGGTCCTTCCCTCCACCCTTTCTCCAGCCTGTAGGAAGTGGTTCCAGGGGCAGGAACACGCCCCTTTCTTTTCCCTCTGGGCCCCTTGGTGACTACAATGTCTGAGAGTTCTACCACCTTCCATCAGTCAGCTTCGATTTCAGGGCCTCTGGCCCTTGGTTCCTGGAAATCTTTTCTCCGAATTCTGAGATGTCTGAGAACCTTATCTGCCAGCTAGATTTCTCCTTTCTCCGCGGGGCTCCACAAATGGCTTCATGGTAGTAAGAGCGGCCAGAAACTGTGCCAGAGTTATCCAAGCAGTTTCTTCGAGACAACACATCCTGGGGTTCCTCCACATTGTGCGTTTGCTACAGGCTGAACCCTCTTTCCCCTACTGGCCCAACACCCCACTTCCGTCCATATTAGCAGCAGCCCCCGTGAAACAGGGACACCCTCAGGAGGGGTGGAGCTCCCTGGTTCTGACTCTCCCCAACTGGAGCCCACTGTGCAGGAAAGAGCCTCCTGAGGAGAGGTCTTGGCAAGAACTCTGTTCAGGCATGACCCACCATGTCAGGCAAGATGCTTTGGGCTGTAACCCAAACCTAGTCAACTGGCTTAGCAATAAGGAACAGGTAAGTTTAGCAGCTCCCAAAGGATAGCTGGTGCCCAGTGTGGCTGCTGTATCCCGGGCCAGACTCCACCTGCTGATTGCGCCTTTTGTCTTGACCCTCCCATCACGACAGAGCTGCTCATCCTGACACAGGTGCACCCAAAGAGGGGGAGCCCGGCCCCTCCTTGGACCCCTTGTTAAAAGTGAGGGATGTTGGGGTGCCTGGGTGGCTCAGTGGGTTAAGCCTTTGCCTTCAGCTCAGGTCATGATCTCAGGGTCCTGGGATCGAGCCCTGCGTCGGGCTTTCTGCTCAGCGGGGAGCCTGCTTCCCCCCGCCTCTCTCTGCCTGCCTCTCTGCCTACTTGTGATCTCTGCCTGTCAAATATATAAATAAAATCTTAAAAAAAAAAAAAAAGTGAGGGATGATTTCCCAAAGTGCATCAGCACATGCCACTTCCGGGCTGTTTGACCAGAACTGGACTTCATGCTCATTCCTAAAACAAAGACACTAAGAAGGGGAGGCTATAATCAGGACTGAGCTAAAAAGATCTTGTCTACCAAGGCCTGGAAGGACTCTATGTCTTCCAAGCAGGCAGGTATCAGAGAGCCAAGAAAACCAGCTGCTGTAAGCAAGGAGGAAGCCAGGCAGGCTGCGGGGCTGTTCAGAGTCTCCTGAGGGGCTCAGAGAGAACAGGTCCCCACAGGACATGGAGCCATAGGGCCACAGACCCCGGTCCCCAGCAGCAACATCTGTGTGGCTCAGTGTCTGTCACAGAAACCCAGGTAGGAGAGGCGATGCACGGAGACATGAGTGCCAAGGCCTGTGGAAAATTGGGAAATTTGGAGCTGATGATCACAGTCTGCTATTAAACATAGTCAGCTGACCCAAGAAATAAATATGTCAAACCACACAGTTTTAAACTTGACCTTAAAGATCCCATGAACACAGAGATTCTTAAACTCAATCAAAGGGGGGAGATGAAAAAAGTATATAGCTTTTATGAATATTATGAAATCTTGATCAAATTAATCAATCACATCAGAATAACTTTATTTTTTTTATTATAATACGTCTATAATTCCCATCCTCTATTTCCCCCACCTCCCCATCCACCTTCCTTTGGTAACCATCAATTTGTCCTCTATGGTTAAGAGTCTGTTTTTTGGTTTGTGTGTCTCTTTTTTTTTTCTTTTGCTCATTTGTTTCTTAAATTCCACACATGAGTAAGATCACATGGTACTTGTCTTTCTCTGACTTATTTCACTTAGTATAATACTCTCTAGCTCTATCCATATCATTGCAAATGGCAAGATGTCATTCTTTTTTATGGCTGAGTAATAGTCCACTGTATATATGTACCACATCTTCTTTATCCATTCATCAGTTGATGGACACTTGGACTGCATCCATAGGTTGACTACTGTAAATAATGCTTCTATAAACATAGGGGTATGTGTATCCCTTTGAATTAGTGTTTTTGTGTTTTGGGACTAAATAACCAGTAGTGTGCTTTCTGGGTGACAAGGTAGTTCTATTTTTACTTTTTTTTTTTTTTTAAACCCATACTATTTTCCAGAGTGGCTGCACCATTTTGTATTCCCACCAACAGTTCATGCTCACCAACACCCATTGTTTCCTGTGTTTTTGATTTTAGCCATTCTGACAGGTGTAAGGTGATATCTCCTTGCGGTTTTGATTTGCATTTCCCTGATGATGAGTGATGCTGAGCATGTTTTCATGTGTCTGTTGGCCATCTGGATGTCTTCTTTGGAGAAATATCTATTCATGCCTTCTGCTCATTTTTTAATTGGATTATTTGTTTTTGGGGTGTCGAGTTTGATAAGTTCTTTATAGATTTTGGATCCTAACCCTTTATCAGAGACGGCATTTGCAAATATCTTCTTCCATTCAGTAGATTATCTTTTAGTTTTGTTGATTATTTCCTTCATTGGAAACTTAGAATAATTTTAATAGTTAAAAATATCTATTCATTATACGAGAGTATAGGGTCCTCACAAAGCAGTAAGCAAAACAGACTATGCCTGAATTTTTTATTATCATTACAATTTGGTTTTGGGGTTTTGGGTTTTTGTTTTTGTTTCAGGTTTTGACCTAATTTGGTGGTTTTGCTATCTATCCCATCTGAGCACAAGAGTAAAAGACTTGAGAAAAAATGCCTGGGAGAAAAGCTAAAACTTGATATAATGCAATTCCTCGCATCAATGAGTAAATTGAGAATTAGCAAAAGCCCACGATTGTCGACTTTTTGAAGCTGGGCTTCTTAGAGCAGCAATCAGGACATACTTTGAGAGCCACCAGTCTAGCCAAACCCTCCCATTTGTTTTCTGCAAAAATTACTATGGCTCACAAATATCTCTGGGTTTCCCCAAGGTCACCAGTTAATTATTGACATAGAAAGTCTCCTCCCAAAGTATCCCAGTGATTTCCCACATCGCACATCAGGGATGCATGTCAGGGATAAAGGAGGGTACGTGTGTGGTGTCGGCCTGAGCTCTAGGTATGTCTGGTCGAGTCCAAATTCAACACAGACTGCAAAGCTTTCTATCTATATGCAGAAGAAGAGAAGCTTGGAACTCATTTCAAAAGCTGCTTCTGCTGGTGATTTAAAAACACATCTTTTTCTCCCACACACACACTGACACGGACCTGTCCCCTCTAGAAACCAGCTCTCCTAGACCCAGTGGGCCTGAGATCAAGGTGTGACTTGTTCAGAGCTGACCAGGAAGGAAGGGCCTGGGCTGGCTCCTCTGCTCTCTCCTCCCGCCCAGAAATGGTTAATTGCCAGCTCCAGGCTGCCTCCAGCCCAGCCCTAATCGGCGTGATCTCAAGTGGCTGGCTGGCCGTACTGGAACCGCAGCAGCTCTGGGCCAGGCTGGAGCTGCACGGAGCAGCAGAGGCGTTCTTCCAAGGTAATGATTAAGCTAAGCGTCTGGCAAGGGCGTAGGCAGCAGAGCCGGGAAGGTGAGCCCTATTCACACCTCAACCAGGTGGTGGTGGCCAAGACTGGTTTGGAAGGCAGGGCCCCAGGGCACGGGGGCCCAGAGCCGACAGCCACAGCCTCCCCCTGCACACGGGCATCAAGGAGCATCTCAGGCCGGAGTCTCTGCTGCCTGCCCTACTGGGACCCTGCCCTCAACCCTGGCACCATGAAGCTGCAAAAGTTCTGGACTGGTCTGGAATACACCTGCCGGCTCCTGGGCATCACCACCGCTGCAGGTAAGACGCCGCCTCCCAGCTGCAGTCCCCTGGGCACTAGGCACAGTAGACAAGGCTGCTCGAGAGGTGGGAGCCAGCAGGCTGGGGACAGATGGACACATCTGGCCACATCAGCCTTCACTTTTCTTCCCAATGCCTCCAGAAACTGCTCTGCAGGACAGCAGCAGGTGCAGTGGGGTGAGCCTGGGTGAGGGAGCCTGGTGCTGGATTTCCACTTGGCTGGCCCCACCCATGCAACCTAGGGTGCCCTCAGTGTCCTCATCTGCAAAAGAAGAGATCAGGAACCTCCTTGAGGGTTATTGTAAGGTGGAGGTGAGAACGGAAGCTGAAGGTATAGAAGCCCAGGCAAACATGAGAGTTGGATGCTTTGCTGTATAGTCATGAAGCCGGTCAACAGAGCTCGTCATGTTTTACTCAAACCACAACTCCATTTCAAAGAAAGAGAATTCCCAGCACTTGGGACAGGCTGAGGTCCAGCAGTGGACATGGAGATCCCAGGCTTCTCTTGCTCCACTTCCCCCGCCATTAACAGAAAGTCCCATGGAAATCCAGTCCCCCTTTCTGTGGTCTGACCTCAAGAACGCGCCATGGGTCTGAGGTAGAATGGCTCCCTAAGCTGGGCTCCTGTCCCTCACTCTGCCTGATCACAGGGCTGCTCGACTCTCAGAGCAGAACCAGAGCAGCCTGGTTTTGCCTGCTCCCTTCCCCAGTGTAAATGCCAACCTTTGACCCCTCCAGATTCCCCACATGGTCAGGGTCTGTGTGTGGAAAGTGAGAAGTCAGTATTCTGAGCTCTCAGCTCTAGGCTCCACTGTCCCTTGAGCATCAGGAAGAGATGCACATCGCTCGCCAAGTCCTTCCTTGCCACTGGACAACATCCAGTATGAGTCTTGGCAAGTAAGAAATGTCCCCCAGCTCAGGACTCCGGCTGTGCTGGTTCCAGCCCCCACCCAGTCATTTGCTGATGTGTGACCTTGGGAGAGCCACCCAGTCCCTCTAGGATGGTACTTTCCGATCTGGACCTGCTGGCCAGGTGTTTTGGAGGATCAAGGATGCACAGAATGAGCAAAGCTCCATGAAACTGAGCCCATAAACCTCTTGGGAGAAGCCCACATGACCTGGTTCCAAGCTCGGTGGTGGCTGGCTGGTGGGCTCTTCTAGCATCTAGGTCTTCAGCACAGGAAGTTAGCTGTTGGGGAAGGTCTAATGACATTCCTTCTATTGCAAGATGGAGCATCTGAGCCCAAATAGAGGCAGCGACCTTGCCCAAGGTCACCCTGCAGATCAGAGGGACAGCTAGTCTGGAGCCCAGGAGCCCCAACTTTTGAAAAGGCCAGGACTCTGGCCAAGGAACTCCCTGCTCCCCAGAGTCAGAAACCCTACCCAGTGGACACCAGGAAGGGTCTGGAATTGCTCTACTGAGGGCCCTGAGTAAATGGCCCCGTTCCTTGACCTCAGTAAATGGGCTGATTGGGGAACCTGTTCCAGCCTCTGCCAGAACCACCTTGTCACCTACATGCAAGGGAATGACTGCCAAGGTGCACAACTTCCCATCCTGGGGAGAGGAAGGTAAACCTCAATAGGGCTTCTATGTCTGGAATTCCTGGTCTACCATGTTGATCTTGAGCCCACCCTGGTCTCCTTAGGCCTTGGTTTCCAGGTAGGTCAAATGTACTCTTTTCAGCTCTCAGGTATTTTGGTCATAGCTCCCCTTGCTACAGTCTGCCCAGAGCTGAGGCCTGCCTCCTCTCAGGAAGCTGTTTTAAGATATATCTATTTTTCCAATAGCCTTGCAAAAGACAGCTTAAAAGTCTGATATATCTCAGCCAGTGGAAGGGTTGGTGTGTGAGTGTGCGCGCACACACACACACACACACACACAGAGTTACTCTTAACCACAACTCTTATCTCTGTGCAGAGGGCCACTGTTAATGCTGAAGATGAGTCTTCCGCTTGGTTTTGATATAGGACCCAGGCTAAAAATAGGCCATGAGTTGCCTTTTAATGGCCAGGCTTTCCAGTAATCTTGTTGGAGCCTTCTAGAGTGCTGGGAGCAAGTGGGAAGCTAGAGAGAGGGGCTTCGGGGCTCTTGGGCAAATCTCAAGTTTCTTCCGCATTACTAAACTCCTGGCCTGTTTCCAGGGTTTAAGATTTGCAAATTCCTTATTCCCTTAAGCCTCTTGTTATTGAAATCTCTGTTGAGAAGTCCAGGCCTCATTTACAGTAACACTGCTATAGATAGGAAATAAGGCTTGAGACAGAGGCTGTCACTTTGCAGAAACCCCAGGAGACCTAAGGTAGCCCTGGTCCTTCTATGAGAAGTGTAGGTTCTCCAGAAGCTAGAAAAAGCATGTGGCCCAAGGTTGCTCAGAGTGTCACCAGCAGAGACAAGGGAGCTGCCAATCTGGCAGCCTCTTCCCTGAATCCCCTTTTCCTCTGCAGATGAGATCTGGGACCGCTAGAGGCCCAAGGGTACCAGACCCCAGGTGACTCCACCAGAATGGCAAGGCCCAGTGGCGATGGCCCAGCTGGCTGAGTTCATCTTTTCTTCTCCTCCCAGACACTCTGGATGAAACTTCATCAAGATGTCCAGGGGTCCCATGGGCCATTGCTGCCCTACCCCCATGCCCAGCCCTCACCACCAGTGGGCACGACGAGCAGTGCCACTGCTAAGCAGGGGTAGACAAGCCACAAACAGAGAGCACCCAGCTGAACTGTTTCTAAAATTAGAAGATTCTCTCCCATGAGACTCTTCTTATGACTTTGAGCCAGTCATAAGGTTTCCGAAATCATCACAGACCTTCTCCCAAAATTTGTCTTACACTTGGCCAGCTTTACTCATTTGCATTACCTCCCTGGCATGGAAGGCTGTGTGTGTGTATGTGTGTGTGCACCTGTGTGTGCGTGTGTGCACCTATGCATGCGTGGACACATGTGTGACCACTGGTGTCCCTCCTGCTGAGATGGGGCTCCAGGAGTCACCCAAAGAAGCAAACACAGCTAGGGAACTGCACACAGACTGTGAGCGCTGCACACCTCTCTGTCCAGTTGTTAGACACCCACTTGTCCAACCCTCAAAGCAGGTTCTGTGTCCACATAAAGGTGGGGTCGTGACGTCCTGAGTTGGAGACTCAGGCCCGAGAGGATGCGTGGCCCTGTGATTTATTTTCACTACAAACCAAACATCAGAAGAGAGAACCTGGGGATAGGTTTTACTGAGATGGGAACACAGAGGCACAGAGTGCCCCTTCTCTGTCTTACAGGACCGGTCCCCATATCTGTTTCTTGGAAGGCAGGATTGGCTTCGCTTTGAGCTTCCGAAATCCTCTTAATCCCTGAGGGAGAGTCTCCCTGTGCTTGCGCCTCACTCCTCAGCCCTAGTGAATGGAAAGAACCCACTGTGTTAGCTGTTTGTTGAGGCCTCTGTGACTTTCCTCGGGGCAAGGAGGCTCAAGAATGAGGCTTCTCACCGCCAGCACTTGAGGGATTTCTTCACTCTTCCAGCTCTACCCTGGGGTAATAGTTGATAATGAACATTTTGTGACCAAGCCCTGTGCTCCATGGCTTAGATGTATCATTTCCTTTCAGCCTCATAATTACCCTTTGAAGCCTCATCAACGCTCATCATCACCCCCGCTGTATGTGGGGAGAAACCGAAGCTTGGTGAAACACCTTGTCCAGGGTCTCACAACCAGGAAGCAGAGAGGCAAGTTTCTAACTGATGAGGGTCTATTCCTGAGAACCTTTGTCTTAAACAGTGTGTCCTCCACCTAAATCAGGCTAAAGAACATGTCTTTCTCTGGTTTGGCAATCCCAAGATGCAGGATACAATACCCACAGAGCCTTGTCTGAGGCCATACCAGACACAGGCTCAGGCAGGGGGGGTCACGCTGAGGTTGGGCACAGTTAAACGCAGCATAGGAAGCATGACCAAATACTACCAAAGACTAAAGACTCTGATATTTGATCCAGATGTTCATTTTCTCTCTCTGAATAATTGCCGTGCAGACTTTGACTGACACTACCATAACCATCCAGTCAAGTCCATTCCTGGACCTCATCAGACGACAGACAAATCTGCTCACATTTCCAGAGGGAACTATAACAGCAGGACCTTCCATTTATGGGTTCAGAGATGCATAACTGACAACAGTGAGAAGAAGTCATGATCTTACTAAAGCCCTGCCAGTGTCTATGAGGGCCAAATACTGATCTTAGACGTATTTTACCCATGAGGAAACAAGCTCAGAATGTCCGTGTAGCTTGGCATGGGTCACATGGCCCGTAGAAAGCAGCTCTGGTTTTGGAGGTCCAGTCTGCCCACTCGCAAGTCAGTGAGGCAGGGGCACATCCTGGGGCTGTCTGCACACTGCTCCAAAGAGAAGGGCACCACACAGCCAGCAAGGAAATGGGCCGGCATTGAGACAAGACCATTTAGAATGAGCCCTGCTTGTCAGGCTAATGTGCTCTTTCTCAAAAATCAATGATTTTAGATCAACCTGGAATCACTTAGGGGTTTTGTTTTGTTCCAGGTTTTTGACCCATTAACCTCTTCTCTACATAAAGGACAGCACCACATTCCCAACAGCCCCACTCCTTACCAATACTCAGTTCGAAATGGAGATTTGGTTTATTAATACAGCCTAAGACAAAAGAAGCATTTAAACCCATTACTTTTTAAAGAGTACTGAAGAGTAGAGCAAATGCATAGTTTGACCTTAGCCCCATCAAAGTCTTAAAAAAAAAACAAAAACCTAATGCTTCTGAGACAACCATCTTGGGCCCTCCATGCTAATTTCCATCCTTCTTAAATGTATATCCCCGTGACCATCTCCGGCCATCCAAGGAAGCTTCGTGCACTTCAACGTGTCCACAAGTGGATTTATTACCCAAGCAAGACCACATTGTTTTCAGAGTCTCAAAATGGATGTTGACTGCTTTTCTTTTCTGATCTGATTGTCCTAATGAGTGAATAAAATATCTCTACCTCTGTTCCACTC